CACGCGGGCCCCTCCCCGCGCGCGGCCCCGGAGGTGAGGCTCTTCGGGCCCGCGCGGGAGGCCGTGGGCGCGGCCCGCGTGGAGGTGTCCGTGCAGCCGTCCTCGGCGGCGCGCCCGGAGGGGGGCTGCCGTGTCGTCGTGTGCAGCGTGACTGTTCATGATGCCGGGAGCGGAAAAGAGGGGGGTGATGACTAGGGGGGGGTGGATATCATGGCGCGGGCCATGATATTTCCCCAGATTTCATGGCGCCTCTTCTTATTTCATTACGTCCCTGGCCCCGCTGGCCCCCCCCTATTTCATTCCCCCGGTGCAGCGTGACTGTTCTGATGCTCTAGGCCTCCTAGATGGGGTCGGAGCAGATGGGGTCGGAGGATCGCGCCGCATCGCCGATGCATCGCCGGTGCGGCTCGATGTAGGGCCCGATTTGCTTCAGGTCGACGTCGCCAATGCATCGCCGACGTCGACGATGCATCGCCAGTGCATCGCCGATGCATCGCCGATGCATCGCCGATGCATGGCCAGTGCAGCAGGAGCGAAAGAAGGACGTACATGTACATGAATCCACGCTGGTTTCGAGAGTACGCGTTGCGCAGATGTTCGTATTGCGCGGCCCGTCTCGCGGATGGAGGGGCCGTGCTCATGTACATAGCTGGGCGCGTACGTCCTTTGTGGGCTCCCTAGTGCAGCTGGACTGTTCCTGCTGCCGCGTGCCGTCGGCCCGCGCGCCGTGGGTGCCGCTGGTTCGTGTGAGGGATGGCTCGTTCCTGGCTGCTCTTTGTCTGTTTTTGTTATGGCTCTCTCTCTCTCTCTCGTTCTCTCTCTCTCTCTCTTGTTTTTTTTTGTTCTCTCTCTCTCTCTGTCTCTCTCTCTCTCTCTCTCATTCTCTGCGGTGCACGGCCGTCTTGGGGCCTTTTTGGGACCCCCTTGGGCGATCTCTGGGTCCTTGTGGGCCGACTTCGGGCCCTTTTGGGGGCCCTCTTGGGCTGTCCTGGAGCCATCTTGGAGGCCTCTTCGAGGGTTCGTGGGCCGCCTTGGGCGGTCGGACAGCCGACCAGGTGAGAACCTCACAATCTGCCAAACACTTGAAGAACATCAATGGTGTTGGTCTCCTCGGGCTCTCCAGGAAGGCCTCTTGGAGACCTCTTGGGCCGTCTTGGGGGCTTCCTGATATGTCTTGAGGCTGTCTTGGGAGTCTGTTGAGCCGTCTTGGGTCATCTTGACGTCATCTAGGTTGCCTTGAACGCCGTCCCGGAGGCCACGGGGCTCCCAAGAAGGCTTCGAGACAGATCAAGAGACCCCCAAGACGGCCCAAGATGTCTTCAAGAGGCCCTCCAGGAGAGCTCGAGGAGGCCGAATGTTTTGATCGTCTCGAAGTGTTTGACGGATTATTAGGTTTTTGCATGGTCGGGTTCCGACCGCCCAAGACAGCCCAAGAGACCTCTCTAGGCCGTCTTGTTGTTCTCGTGGAGCTCTTCAAGGCCGTCTTGGGGCCCTCTATGGGAGCCCCATGGGCGATCATTGGGCCCTCTTCTTTGGCCGACTTGGGGCCCTCTTGGAGGCCTCTTGGGCTGTCTTGGAGCCAGCTTGAAGGCCTCTTGGACGCCTCTTGAGCCGCCTTGGGTGGTCGGGAACCAGGACAGGCGAGAACCTCAACATCTTTTAAAGACCTGACGACAATCAATGGTTTGGGCCCCTCTGGGCTCTCCAGGAAGGCCTCTTGGAGCTCCCTTGGGCCGTCTTGGGGGCCTCTTGGGCCGCCTTGAAGCCCCCTTGGGCTATCTTGAGCTGTCTTGAGGCTCCCTTGAGGCTCTTGAGCTGTCTTGGGCCATCTTGAGCCGTTGTGCTGCCGTCTTGGTTGTCTTGGTAGTCGTCGTGGAGGCAATCTTGGCCGTCTGGAGGCAGACAACATAGCCAGACAACAATTTCAACAGGGGCGTTTTTTTAGTTTTTGGGGGGCGCGTGGGAAAGGTGGCGGGGGGGCCTGAAACAATGTGAAGAACCTCCCGCCATCCAAGACGACGCATGACGGAAAGAGCGATAGCGAGAGAAGTTCTGCATAGGGCTTTAGCCCCAATGGGGGGTGGGTCTGGTGGGTGTCTGGACCGGGCCTTTTCGACGGAAAGACGAGCCAAGGAGGGCCCCACAGAGGCCCAAGAGCCTCCCAGGAGAGCCCCGAGAGAGCCACAGGAGGCTCACAAGAGGGCCCCGAGAGCGCCCCAAGCCGGCCCAAGCCCCCCAAGACGGTCCAAGAGGGCCCCAGAAGGCACCCAACCAGCCTAAAAGACCCCCAACAGGCTTCCAAGAGGCACTCCGAGATGCCTCCCAGAGCCTCTTACGAGGTCCCACCAGAGCGAACCGTGCCGTCAAACGCTCTGACTGCCAAGGCTCCTCGGAGCGGACGTTGACATAACGTTCCGATCACCACGGCGGCCGTCTTACCGTGACGCGCACCCTAGCTTGCTCCAAAAAAAAATGCATGGCAATCCCTAGTGTCCAAATCGCCGCCGCATAAACGGCCATCGAACCCCCGAGCCCGGGGAGAAGCATTGTAAGTGAAAGAATACAGTGGTTACCGGAGGGGGGATCAACAAACATTACTTGTAACATATGGGAATTCAATAGCAGCAGCAACAACAACACCACACCACCAACAACAAACACACCCTTCCGCACCGCGAAACCTCACTTCAGCCACTCGCCCAGGGGCAGTAAATGACCGTTCGGCACCCTCACTCCGAGAATGCTCTTCCGATCTACGGAGGTCTCTATGTATTGTTCGGAGATTCGGTGGGTAAACACAACTTTCGGGGTATATCAGCCGTGCACCGTCTCTTGCACGATATAGATATCCGCCGTGCGCCGTTTCTTGCAGCCTTGCTGTCGCACTATTGTCGGCACACCTTACATCATCCCTTGGTGCCGATGAGTTGGATACCGCGCAGGGTAATTCGTAGATTCGGCGGGAAAACCATGTCTGGAGTAAATCAATTTTGTGGTCGCTGCCCTGCTCCGAAAACACCCCCTTTACCAAAGCACCGCGCGCCTCTGGCGCCTACTGTGGTCGATCCCCTACTCGGAAAACTCCCCCCTTCACGAGCGCGGTCGCTCTGTGGCCGATCCCCAGACTTGCGACGTCTTGATTTTTTCAGGACGGCGCCCCTGGAAGTCCCGACCCTTTCGTCCCGAGTCGTCTTTGGACGGTCCCGAGGCTCGGCGAGTCTGGGTCCCATACAGTCGGGGCGTTGAGGAAGGAACCCTTTTCGTTGGGGAGGGGCTCGGTGTTCCTTAGTTGTTTTGCAGTTCGCCTTTGGTTTTGCTTAGGGCTTCGATGGGAAGTCGAAGTTTAACTTATGGGAAGGAGGGGCCTCGTTCCTTACTTAGGGTTCCTTAGGTCAACGCCCCGACTGTACTCGAACAACTCCCCCCTGCTAAAGCGCGGTCGATCTGTGGCCGATCCCCTGCCCGCGAGAAGCTCCCCCCTTGACGAGCGCGCCGCCCGCCTCCGGCGCCGCGGCGGGGCCCAGCGTCGCGGACCTGCGCGCCGCGGTCGCGGGCGGCTGGCCCGCCCTGGCCACGCTGCTGCCGGTGAGCCGCTTCGCGGTCGACGAGGATTCGGGGGCCCCCAAACGGGGTGGTGACCACACCGTGTGGTGAGTCGGTGGGGGTTCGGGGTCACCGCACGGTTTTGGGACTTGGGTCGTTATCCGAGGGCGTCTCGGGCGGTTGGGACCTCCAGGGTCCCAAAACCGTGTGGTGACGGGCCATGCGGTGAGGTCTTTGCGGATTTCGAGGTCGCCGCCGGGTCTGTCACCACACGGTTTTGGGACACCCAAAGGATCCGCGCGGCGAGGAAGTCGCCAGGCTTCAGTCGGGCAGGTCCTTAGAAGGACAATGCAACAATAGTACAACAAAAAATAGGCCGGGGACGATTTACCTACTATGTCCGATTCTTGTTGAATGTGTTTTGCATCTGTTTCGCTTTTCTTCCAGAATCCGCCTGAACCGCCTGTAAGAGGACATGCCCGACCTAGCGCCAGGCCCAGACATCCGACGCTCCTACAAAACTCGGAGCGGGCGGTTTTGATGATGTTTTTTTTCTCCACCACCGCTACCATATGTCGGACGGGGGAGAAGGGAGGATGAGGAGGTCCTCCTCCTCCTCCTCCACCTCCTCCTCCTCATCTTCCTCTTCCTTCTCCTCCTCCTCCTCCTCCTCCTCCTCCTCCTCCTCCTCCTCATCATCATCATCATCATCATCATCATCATCATCATCATCATCATCAGCAGCAGCAGCAGCAGCAACATCATCATCATCATCATCATCATCATCATCATCATCATCATCATGCATCATGCATCATCATCATCATCATCATCACTATCACTATCATCATCTCATCATCATCATCATCATCAATCATCATCATCATCATCATCATCATCATCATCATCATCATCATCATCATCATCTCATCGCTCCGCTCCTCCTCCTCCTCCTCCTCCTCCTCCTTCCCCTACACCTCCCCCTCCTCCTCCTCCCCCTCCTCCCCCCCTCCTCCTGTAGCGGTGGTGAAAAATGGGCCCATCACTTATTTGGAGACGAAGCCAACACGAGGATAAAACCGGGTACGGCTATAATGCAAACAAACCTCTGAGGTCCGGCAGCTCTGGGTCTCGGGCGCCGCGGCCTCCCCAGAGCGCTCTGGAGCGCTCCTCGAGAGCGTTCCGGCACGCTCTGGAACGGATTTCTCCTCGCTCTAGCCTTAAGTCGTGCATATCCCTCCCTCTACAGGAGGAGCATTCAAAAATAGTCTGGGGACGATTTGTTGACTATGTTTGACTGCTTCTCCGCATTTTTTAGATTCTCATCCTTCGTCCAAAATCCGCCTGCAGGAGGACACGCCTGGCCTGAGTCTAGCCCCGTCCGACCCAAAGATCTGACCCTCCCAAAGAAGGCTGGAGGGGCCGGCTTCTGCCAGGTTTCGGCTTCCGGGGGCCCTCGCCCGGGCCGGGCTCGGGAGCGTCAGGGAAGGATCCGGGAGGAGAAGCCGGCCCCGGGGCAGTGGCCCGGACCTGCGGGGCCCACGCATCGAATCGAATGCGAGCAGCCGGATGTCTGCGGGGGCGGGAGTTCGCCATGAGGTGCAAGCGTGTCCTGAGCCAGACTCGAGTACGCCGGAACTCGGGTGTGCCGACGCTCTTTGACGAGCGCGCCCTGGATTTTGACGGTCCAGTTTTCGTGGGACGTCTGCAGCGGGAGCCCGCGTCAAATTTCAGACTGGGCCTCGTCATTTTCATGATGGCCCCGTCAGGCCAACCCGAGTCCCCCCTGACCCGAGTCTTACGCCTCCCCGGCATGGAGGCAAAGCGTGTCCCGAGGGAGAGGTGGGGCGAGAGCGGACGACGGCACCGCGCGGGGCGAGCGAGGTTGACCAGTGAAAGTCGCCAAGAACGGGCCGAAGGGGAAAGGATGCGGCCCAGACCTCCGACGTCGTGATCTGTTTCGCAGCTGCGATCCCCAGAAGTCTGGACCCCTTCCCCGGGACCGGCTTTCCACCCGGAGTCGCTTTCTGACGCCCTGCGGCCGGGTAAGGGCCCCCCCGAAGGCCGCAAATAGCGACAAAACATTTGTCATGTTTGTATACACGGCGCGAGGAGGTCTGGGAAGGAGAGCCCTGAGGAGACGCACATCCTTCGTGTACGGGCTGGCCGTAGCCCCCCAGCACGCCCCGCGGTGATATCCGAGAAGGGGTCTCCTGGGGGACGCGGCTTTTTTGTTCCTCCGTTTTTTTGCGGGGGGCTTGCCTTTGGGCCCTCCCTGGGCCGCGGGGCCGTAGACACGATTCGGCACGCAGAATTCGCGATCGTTTTATGTTTTTTTCGTTTTGCCGATCGGCGCTGGCCCTCGCCCTCCCCCCCATCATGTCATGGAGTAGATCATGGCTGTGCCCTCCTCCTCCTCCTCCTCCTCCTCCTCCTCCTCCTTCTCTGCCTCCTCCTCTTCCTCCTCCTGTTTCTTCTTCTCCTCCTCCTCCTCCGCCGCCTCCTCCTCCGCCGCCTTCTCATCCGTCACCCCGCCCGGCCGTCATCCTCGTTGGCCTCTGCCTGCCTGCCTGCTTCAAGCAGGTGCAGTCCCCCCCCCACAGGACGCACGGTTGCAAACCGTTGCCTTGAGCAGAGGTGCGGAATCAGTCCGTCTTTTTTTGTGGCCCTGTTTCTGGGCCTCCCCGGGCCGCAGGGCCGTAAGCACGATTCGGCACGCAGAGTTGGCGATCGTTTTCTTATGCGATGTTTCGCCGATCGGCGCGGGCCCTCGCCCTCCACCCTCACCCAACATGAAGCAGATCTTGGCTGTGCCCCCCTCCTCCTTCTCGTCCTCGTCCTCCTCCTCCTCTGCCTCCTCCTCCTCCGCCGCCTCCTCCTCCGCCGCCTTCTCATCCGTCACCCCGCCTGGCCGTCATCCTCGTTGGCCTCTGCCTGCCTGCCTGCTTCAAGCAGGCGGTGCATTTTGCCGATCGGCGCGGGCCCTCGCACCCCCTCCCTCCCCCCCCCTCATGGAGTATATCTTGTCTGCTTTGGGCGCCTGTCTAAGTAAGGCAGGTGGGCAGGTGGATTCCCCCCTCAATTCCCCCCAAATAGGAGACACTGCTGGAAACAGTCGCTGTGAGCAGCGGTCCGGAGCCAGATCCCCCCCCTCCTCCCCCCCCTTCCGCCCAATGTCGAAGCGCCGAATCAGAAAACGTTCGGCATGCAGAGTTGGTCTAAGGGGGAGTTCCCTGCGGTCCAGGACCCGTTTTCCTCAGGACCCCTGCCTTCGTGCCAAGGGGCAGGGCTCGAGCGAAACAGCGTTTTTTCTAAGCGATTTCGTGGGCCATTTGCGTTTTGATTTCGCTTCGCAGCAGAGGCAGAGCGTAGACAGAACGAATGACAACGACAACCAAAACGACAATGAAAAGCACTGTTCAGTTCGAGCCCTGTCAAAATCTGGATCGTCGTCCTCGAGTTTTCTTGTCTGGGATACGTTGCTGCCGCCCATCCCGCCACCACCACCGTTCCTGAGTTGTGGTTCGCGGAGTGTCACGGCTTCCTCTTGAATGCGTCTCGGGGTCTCTTTGGGTGCTTCTTGGGGCCTCTCGAGGGCCTCCGGTTTTTTTTTATTATAGCATTGCTGTTAGCATTTCGCGTCCTTTAAAACGAGTAATGTTCGGCCCTTCTTGGGCCCCAGCTGGGGAATGAACACAGATTCGGGGAGAGTCCCGGGATCCAGGACCCGTTTTTCTTGAGGACCTGTTTACCTCGCAGGGCCCGACCCGATCGGTCCCATTCCATGCCGACCTCGGCTGGCCCGATCCGATTCGGTTCCGATTGTCCAGCGGACGGATGTTGCCCGATGCTCGCGTGACGCTGCTGTGCATCCTGGCGAGGCCGACCCGATGCGATTGGGAACCGTGCCGGTGCGGCCCGGTCCGGTACACGCTGCGATCCGAGCCGATCTCCAGAATCGATGCTGACTGATCCATTCCGAAGGAGCTCTCCTCGAGCAGGGCAACTTCTTCATCCCGGGTAGCTTGTTGCATGGTCCCCGGGGGGGCCCGCAGAGGGCCCGGGGGGCCAGGGAACGGCGAAGCCATCCAGAGCCCGCTTCCTCGAGGACCCGTGTCTCCTCTTTGTGCACTCGGGGCCCCTCTTCTAGAGGAACAAAAAGTGACATAAACATGAAAACTCGGAGGTCCGCGCGGATTTCTCGGATCGGCGCTGGACCCCCCTCCCTGGCGCGCGGGGCGCGCCAGGGGCGGCGCCGGAGGCGCTGCTGGGGGTCCAGCGCCGATCCGAGGAGTCCGCGCGGACCTCCGAGTTTTTTTATGTTTAGGCCACTTTTTGTGCCCCTGTCTTCGCTCACGCCACGAGGAGCTTGTCATGGACGAGGGGACGAGCCTCGCGGCGGGCGCGGACGTGGCCTTCATACCGCCCATCAGCGGCGGCTGAGCCCGCGGGTTGGGCCCGCACCCCGGGCGGGGCGGCCGGGCAGGGCGAGCCTCGGCGCGGAGGCGGGCGTCGCCCGCGCCTCCGCCTCGCCTCGCCGCGCCGGCAGGCGGGTGCCGCGAAGAGCGGAGCTCGGAGGCCTGCCTCCGTGCTCGCCCCTCTCTTCCTCCTCCTCCTCCTCCTCTTCCTCCTCCTCCTCCTCTTCCTCCTCCTCCTCCTCCTCCTCCTCCTCCTCCTCCTCCCCTCCACCCTTTTCCTATCCTCTCATCTGCATCAGCAGCAGGCAGCATCAGCAGCAGCATCATCATCATCATCTCATCATCATCAATCATCATATCCTCATAATCATCCTCATCATCTCATCATCATCATCATTATCATCATCATCATCATCATCACCATCATCATCATCATCATCATCATCATCATCATCATCATCATCATCATCATCATCATCATCATCGCCTCCGTGCCCCCCCCATCCAAACTCAGTACCAACACTGTTCAATTTCTCTTTAAGTAATCGCACGCGCTTCTCAGTCAGCCAAGGACCAAGGATGAGAGAAGCGAAAAAAGAAAACAGTGGAGCGAGGAAGGAACTGACGCATTAAATTCTGAATAACATGAGTGAAGTGTTGCCCGGCATCATTAACATACCTCCCTATGGGGCCACGAACCGTGTGAGGGGTGCGGCAAAATGGCGCGGGGCCGCCATGCGGACCCTGCCTCTGGGGCCTTCGGTGCAGCTCCCTATGGGGCCACGAAGCGCCGTGCTGGGTGGGCGAAACGCAGGGAGGAAGGAGGAGGGGGAGGAGGCAGGAGGGGGAGGAGGAGGGATGAAGGAGGCGGGAGGAGAACGCGGGGACCGTCTCTTCTTCACGAGGACCCAACACCACAGGATGGTGAGGAGCGATCAGGACGGGACGTTTTGGGGATGTTCGGCCCCGGGGGGCCCTCGCCGGGCCTCAGGACCGTCAAAAAACGACTCGCGGGACGAAGAGCCGATCCCGGGGAAAGGGTCGGGACTCCCAGGGAAGCCGTCCGGAAAAGTCAGCACGTCGCGTGTCGGGGTCCCCGCCCCCCCGAGCCCCCAGGCCCCCGAGGAAGGAGGGGTCCAGGCAGCGTCGGGCATCACGACGTCGGAGGTCTGGGGGCGAGAGAGGGTCTGGGGGGCGAGGAGGGGAGGGTCGGATCGGGGCAGCCGGCCGTCAGAGTGCCGGAGCTGGTCCGGGAAGAGCGCCTCGGGGTGTCTTGTGGGACGCCATCTCCTCCGCGTGCCCGAGTGGCCTTCTCTTGCGGTGCAGTGGGCCTGGCATCGCTTGGACGTATGCAGTCTTTTCTCGGCGAGAGCCATCGAGGACCATCCTCGACCAACGAGCAACAAAAAAACACGCACGAAACCGAAAAAGATGCACGGGAAATGGACGTCCGAGCGACGGCGAGTGGGGGGGGTAACGGTTGGGGGGTGGGCCTGATGCGCACCCCCTCTCTCAACACGTCCCGAGGGCCTCCCCTCTGCCGCGTGTATGCCTCGGACCCCGATCTGCGAGCCCCCGTCCTGGACGACCACCCCTCTTGGGCGCCCACTTTATTATTGTCCGCGCCCCGCTCGAGAGGCTTCAAGACGGCCTTCCAAGGCCCTTGCATCTCCTTATCGCGCATCCTTATGATCCGGGCCGACTGTAGGTGCCGTTTCGATGCCAGACGGGCATGCCATGCGTAGGACAGAGCGGGGTGGAGTCTCGCTCGTTGTAGGACAGGGCGCGCCCCCGCAGTTATTGCAGCTGCGCCGGTCGTTCCGAAACCCCTCCTCTCCGTTTGGTCTTGCCGTTTCTTCGACAGTTTCTTCTACAGTCGAGCAGTGAGGAGGAGTCTTGGCTTGCCTGCAGGCGAGCCTGTTGTGGTTTGCACGAAATGTTCTTACAACACTTCTGGTTGAAACTGCATTGCGTTAGCACACCGTGTTCACGTTCTAGGAGCATTGTTTGGGTTCTGAGAGCATCCTGTGGTTCTAAGA